TGTGATATAATAATTTCATTTAAGAGGAATTTAAACCATTTGAATTGGAATAGGAAGATTCTTCAATAAGTATACGTATACTTAGGTTTCATTGCATAACAATTAAAGATAGTACCATTTGGATTAAGTAAATAATAAAGATAGTATCACTTGAGTTTTACTTTTCATTTTGATAGTAGAATTTAACTTGGCGCCACAGTTATTGATATCAATCGTTCGTACAAGTAATACATACCATTAGATTAATATTCATTATTTATTTAATTTGGTATGGTATAAAGAAGCGAAATTTAACTTGGCGCCAGTTCTTGATATCAAATCTTTTATAGGGATGATACATATCATTAAAGTTAATATTATTTATTTATTTTGGTATTCGAATTACATGGAATTTAACTGGGCGCCAATTGTTGATATCAAATCTTTTATACGAATGATACATATCATTAGAGTTAAATAAATTAAGAAAAAACTTAAAGTTACTATTATTTTTTCTTTAGGAGGAATAAAATGGTAAAATTTAACTTGGCGCCAGTTGTTGATATCAAATCTTTTATACGAATGATACATATCATTAGTTCTACTAAACAGCAAACGTGATTAGTCATCAGTTTCACGGCCGATTAAGTAATTGGTGAAACTAGCCCAAATGGTGATTCTTTACGAGAAGCACACACGCTTAGCGCTTTTTTTACCTTTTTTTAAAAAGGTAAGTTTGTATACGATCATATATACAAAGGTAATTTAAATACCGCCATCCCCATCGTTTTATAATTGTGATATAAAAATGTCATATGTAATAAACACAAGTAATATTATATTTTATTCCTCCCGCAAATTAGCTAATTATTATTATGTTACATGCTTTTTTTTCACGAAATTCATTTTTAGATATTATTAAAAATGGGACTCGTCGACTTTATCTCAACTGACTATTAAAAACTTTGTTTAAAAAAGGCTATTAAAAACTTTGTTTTTGAAATTTAACTTGGCGCCAGTTCTTGTAATTATTACAGTAATATGAATTTAACTTGGCGCCACAATTGTTGATATCAAATCTTTTATACAGATGATACATATATTTTGTGATATGATTTTCATGTAATAATTTTTGAAGGGGAATAAAGCCATTATAACTTGGGTTGGAACAAAGAATTTCATCAAACAGCAAACGTACTTAGTCATCAGTTCCACGGCCGATTAAGTAATGACGTTGGTGAAACCGGTCCAAATGGTGGTTTCCACATGAGAAGCACGCACGCTTAGCGCTTTTTTTACCTTTTTTTAAAAAGGTAAGTTTGTATACGATTAAATAGTCTTTTATACAGATGATACATATATCATCAGATTTAGTAAATTTTGTGATACAATGATTTTATGTAATAATTTTTGAAGAGGAATAAAGCCATTATAATTTAGGTTGGAATGTATCATATACAAAGAATTTCATCAAACAGCAAACGCGATTAGTCATTAGTTCCACGGCCGATTACCATAAGTAATGACGGTGAAACCGGCCCAAATGGTGGTTTCCATACGAGAAGTACGCACGCTTAGCACTTTTTTTACCTTTTTTTACAAAGGTAAATTTATATACGATTAAAGTTACTATTACTCATTAATTATAACATGTCACATCGTATATGTGACAATGTTGCCATCGCTGTTTATCACGGCCGTAATGTGTGGTTGATCACGTTCGAATGTGCAATGCTGCCATCGCTAGATTAAGTCAAAAGCTCTCTATTGTCGAAAAATCGAGATGGACATTTTCTCCTGGTCGACGATGATAATAATAATAATGACGACGACGTTTCTTAAAATTATAATAAAAATCAAAATATCCGGACTTTGCGTCGCGACATCTCCGCTCGTAGGGCACATAAAAAAAAATAAAACCACTTTTATCATATAATCCGTGTGGTGGCTATCGATTGAGCATACATAGAACGTGATCGGTTCAGCCGTTATTGAGATCCGATAATCTCGATCTGCCGCAACTCGTCGGTTCGCGTAAAGGAGGCACACTACCAGTGTCTCCAGATACATTATTATATTTATATTAAAATATAATTTTTATTGTTACAAGTATTGTAAATAACATAAAAAGTATGATTTTATATTATTCTGCGCGTTCCGCTTCCGCTTATTCCGCTCAATGGGACATAAAGGATTTAGGAAAAGCGTAAGAAAGAAAACAGAATGGCTGTGATTCGTTGTGTTGATTCCGCGAGTTCCGTTCTGTTGCCAATTTCTGCTCTATGGGACGGCACCCAACAACGAGATTCTGAGAGGAGATAATTCCGCCCGGAGGCGAGGAAATCGTTCCCACATACCGAGGCCTCTACCGAGACATTACTATTCTGCGTAAGAATCTGTAAAAATTAATTTGATTAAAGCGTTTCAACTCTTGTAATTCCATGAAATAAATATCGGTTATCGCGCACCAATCATTGCCCGCAACGCGCGTGTCGCCCTTCGCTCGAATTCCTGCATGAGATTTCGGGCGCTGAAGCTAAAAATATTGTTGTAGCCCTAAAGCTACCACGAGTAAACCTTGCATTTCGGCATAGCAACTAGCTAGCGGAAATGCAAAACAGCAATTATTCCTGAGCCTTGCATTTCAACATAGCAACGAGCTGCAGAAATACAAGACTGCAGATTTGGCAATCCACGCGTGAACGACGTCCATCGCTGGGCACGACCAAATATGGTCATATCGATCACCAAAAGGCGCGGTAATGAGACACCACGCACTTCTTTATATTCGACCGCCTAATCGCCGGCCGGGAGAGTCTCGCACGAAAAATGAATCTACAGGTACGTTATGCGCGTCGCGAGCGGCGAGTATCTTATTACATACGCGATACCGGCCTTAACTAACTATCATCGCGAGCGCGAACGACAAGATATAAATAACCATAATTAAACGAATGATCATAACTATTAACGTAAAATAGTATTACTACACACTAAAACTGAAAGGGTAAACGAGTGTAAGCAAAAAGGGGGAAATTGTTTGAATAAGTGTAATAAGAGGGGAAATCTTTATAATAAAATTGTGAAAAAGTAGTTAAGTGTTGTTTACTCATCGCCCTTCGTGCACCTTCCTCAACGCTCCTCGTGGGTCCTAACCCTTAAGGCAGGCCGAAAGGAACAACAATATTATTACTATGCAGTCCTGCGACATAGTCATTTTTATTTAGTTATCATTTTCTTAATCGTTGTACTTTATTCAGCCGAAATAGTATAAGTGAACGCGTACTAGTATAAGCGAGCGCCAACCAATCAAAAACCGGGGAAGGAGCGGCGCAGACCAGGGAAAAGGACCTAAAAATTAAACTAATAATTTCAAAATCTTATTAAATAACAAGAAATTGATTCAATCTTTCGAAATTACATTAAATTCGTTGCTTCTGTGCCAAATTCCAGCTTGATATGATCAATATTTTTATGAGAAATTCAGTACTCAAATTTGTCACATAGTTTCCAATTCCTGGAAAATCGTAGTCCCTACTTCCTCCCGACTCGCGAGCACCACCGACTGGCGCCTATATAAACGCGGCGAAAATCGAATCTCGCAATTATTTTTCATTCAGCCGAACCTTTGTCCGGATCGGGACCTGTCGAAGAGCAGAAAATTTGGAATATCTCGCTATATAATATAATTCTAAAAAAAAAAGTATCCGCCGCGTCGGTAGATAAATTGCTTTTCTATAGAATGACAAAGAAAGATAACCGCGCAGGTAGGCGGGTACAGATCACTAGAATATATCAAAGATTGAAGATCGACGCTACAGCCCCTTGTCGTCGAAACGCCCTATGACTGTCTCACGTCAGGTCTCTAAGGCCCCTAAACCGCGGCGACCCCCTCGAGTCGTCTCAAACGTCTCCGTCAATAATTGGACAATAACTCGTGTGCCGGCAGGATATGCTAATACCAAAATGAAGTTTAATGAATACTCTAAATTCTGAATAATTAATAATCAATAATGCTCAGAAAACTTTGTATTGATTTACAAAAATATACAATTCCAATATGATAATTCAAATAATTAATATTAATTCTCAATAAATTCTATTCAATTTAATATTCTTAAGGAATCCTGTAACATGCGATACGCCTGCGCTTGAAATCTCATGATTTGCTGCTCGGCCTGAGATTCGCTTCCACTCTGATCGTACTTCCTCTACTCTAATAAACAATCCCGCCACTCTTCCAATCCTAGTCACGCCCGCGCATCGCGCCGTACAGTCTGTCTCTCTAGTCCTAACCCGGCAGCGCGACACGGCGAATATAACGCAATCTTTCTATCATCGCGCAATTTCAATTCTCACGCATAAGAAAAAATAAAATGTTATACACCGCCGGTCGAAACAATATTGTTAGGAGATTGTTCTACCTGAGATTTCCATTCGGGACTCTTCCTCGTTGTTAGTCACATTCGTTGTCAAAGTTGAAAGAGATTTGTGATTCTCATTACGAGAAACATTCAGCATCGCGGACGCCGCCTCGGTAATTTTGGTATCGATTATATCTTTGGTAACTGTGATTTTCGAACATTTCGATGAATCTTGGAACTTGTCGGATTGGCCAGCACGAGAAGATGAATCAGGACTATAGTTGTTGCTGCTACTAACGTTGTTGTGTTCGGATATTGGTTCATTAAAGTTCTGAGCATCAGTAGCAATCTTCTTGGACACATCCATAGTAGTTTTCTCAGGATTTGTCAATTCGCTGTTATACGAATAAATTTGATGAATTTGCTATCGATTTAATTGAATCTTTGCGCCAAAAAAATTCATCTCCTATGTTAACAATTAAATCAATTTGCTAAACTTACTTCATGTGGATTTTTACAAGTTGAACGTGTCTCGATTGAAATGGGGGGCTAGTTGCTGCATCGCACGAGAATTCGTAGCTCCTAAGAATCTTTCGTCTGAGCACATAATTTTCGAGGGCTAAACGGCTCACCACATCAACGTAGCTCTCGCCGCAAAAATTCCCGACACTCTCTTGCAGTCGCCGGAGCTCCTCGCGCGATGAGTCCAGAGCCGAGCGCAGTGACACGACTGTCTACACCATGAAGACAAGCCGAAACTTTTTAACAAACTAAAAACTTTTTATTTTAACGACAGATGTGTAGTAATAAAAAATTCCAACCTTATATGTTTCAATGATTTCGTTAAATATATAATCTACAGCAGATAATTGAATACGAATACACTTCTTTTGATTCAGATACATACTACAGTTAGAATTTAATAAACGAAAAGGTTTAAAATCTGCAATAAGAAATAATTATAACTAAAATCTAAAATCTAAAAAAATTTCAAAAAGTTTATATATGAGTCCCTGTAACAGAGTCTGGTTACGAGATAACAAACTTTTGATTTGCCCATTGTTTTTGTCAATAGATTAATAAAATAACACAAAAAGAGATAGTACCTTCTTTCTTGGGGTGTCCAACCATATTATCTAGATAATCAATTCAAGGATAATTTTAGGACAATCCAGGTAAAAATCTTGGTTTTTCCAGGTTAAAAACAATAAGAATCTCATTGGACATTTGAAAACTCAACAAATAGGAAATACTAGCCAAACGGTCAAAGCTAGATATTTTAATGTTTAAATAATTAATATAAATTACTGTATACTAAAGAGCCTCATAGGGAGAGAGTGGCAAACTGCATCCACGTGACTTGGTCTCCTCTGATTGGACACAGTCGTCAAAGTTTTATAGGGCATTCATGGATGCAGAAATAGATTAGAGAAGAGTTGAAAAAATGGCAGTTTGTTATTTTACAACTTGTCAAGTCTTTATAAGTGATACAAATTATTAATCTTAGAAGTATATGTATACCTTCCTCTATTGTACATATAAACATGAAATAAAATTACGAATTTCAGATATCTGTGTATATTACGAAATGCCTACCAGGTGCAATGCTCCGAGATGCACAATTCCAATGAAGGATACTGCTGCTAAGATTTGATCAAGATTCTAAATTGAAACAAAAATATGTTGATGCTGCAGGACTTCCTGATTGGAAACTTTTAAAATCAGCTGTACTGTGTTAGTATTGAAACATGCATAAAAATGTTTTATACTATAACTCCCATAAACACCTACAAAAATAACATCAATGTTATAATTTCTCATTCAATATCAATATATTAAACTCAATATAATGCGAGTGTATGTAACAGTTACATAATTGCGTGAAAAATTATAATATATTGATATTACGTTAATAAGTTAGTGGACAGATATTTTTCTGTAATACATACCTCTTATTTTAAATTTATTTATATTTCATCAAAATTATTCCGTACTGGTAACAAAAAATTATAAGGAAAGGTGTCATACCAAGTTTGTTTTATCTGTCCTACCAACTATCATTAACATAACATCAATTTGTTATTATTTTTCACGCAACTATGTAATCGTTACATAAGTACACTCGCATTGTATTGAAGTTAATATATTGGCTGCGTTCGGGAACGTCGCTCGGATGCCTCCGATGCCTCGGATTCATCATCTATCCTTGTTTAACATTAAATGTAAATCAGGCTGAAATGAATCTAAATTCAAAATTAATATATAAAATATTAGACTAAAAAAGCCATTTAGACAGATGTTATTCGCTAAAATTATTATTCAAAATGAATACATACATTACAATTTCATACGACGTTTCGACCCTACATGTGATCTTCAGCAGTAAAATTAATGTTCGTGCTAAATTCTTCTAAATCTTGCTATCGGTCAATGTATATATTACAATTTACATAATGAAAAGTGAGTTGTTTTTAATAACTCCTATATATTTTTCTCAATAAATTATTCTTGATCACAATCCATGTCAGTGATACACACGTAAAAAAAAGCCTGTTGGAGTTTCACGGTTGTTATTACTTCCAAATAGTTGTTACTCAAAGTTGTTGTACGCACGGGTTACAATCACATTTATCCATTAGAGAATATCAATTTTCAATTCTAACGTTAAAATGTAAATGTGCCCATGCGCGCACATTTAAATAAATTTATTGCATCTGCACGGTTCCTGCACGGCACATGTGCGTATTGTATATACATACAAAAATACTTGTCGTTTCATTATATATTGAATCCTGATAATGTAAACACATTTTATAATGTACCTTTTAATATTATAACATGTACTGCGCAAAGTGTACAATGCAGGTTACTTTTTATAAGTAAAAAGTTTTATACAATTCCAATAATATAAACGTAACTTATCCCAAATAAACCCAAATAGCAATGTGTCTGTCTTGTTGTTTGCCAAATATGCATTGCTAGTATGTGTAGCTACTAGAATTGCAGCAACTGAATCCTTATTTGTAGGTAATTTGTTGCCTTCACAATATGACAACTTTGAGTAACAACCAGCAATTTGCTGACAATTTTAAAAGCATCCTCAAAAATGGTGATTTTTATGAAATGACACGTTATTTTTTGTTATATGTCATTTGTAAATAAAAATTTGGGCAAAACAAAATAATAAGATTATTTAAAAATAATTGTAACAATGGACGAAAACTATATGCTTATCCCCGCCTGACAATCAGTAAATAACCATAAAAAGTTATAAGAGGTACGTGAAAAGTTATAAGTCTATTTTCACTTACACGTACCTTTTATCACTTTTTATGGTTATTTACTGGCTGCCAAGGGGGATAAGCACACTCTTTATTTACAAATGGTATGTATATAACAAAAATAACGTGTCATTTGTTGCTTCTGACATCGCAATTCAATATGGCTATGTTCAAAAGTCCTAATATCCTGTACTTTACTATTACTGTAGATATCCCGGAGTGTCGTCTTTCTCAAATTTTCACAAGATTAAGTAATCTTCATTCCGTGCTTATTAGGATTTCTCAGATTTATTTTCATCGGTCCAAAAAATTTGTTAATTTTTTTTTAAGTCATTCGTATTAATTTAATTTAATTTAATTAAAAAAAAATATTAACTTACTCTTGCAACCCTGATATTATTTAGTGTATATTTTAATAATATGTTGAATAAAGATTTTATAATTTTTTTCTTAAGGAAATAATTATAATAAATATTCATAAATATTAATCATTATTTTCTAAATATATATATATATTTAGAAAATAATAATCAATATTTATGAATATTTATTATAATTATGTGGTCTAAGATGGGAGAACAAAGCTCTATGAAAATTTTAATCAAAATCTCAATTGTAGATATTCGAGATAATAGTGCAGAACAATTTTATTATTTTAATTTTTTGATCATTTTCAAAAATAAATCGTGACATTAATACAGTATCGTACATGTTATCTAAATCATCTTTTTTCATATTTTAGCTATACTTTATATTTTATATTTTTTATTTCATATGTATCTCATATGGCAATAAGCGTGCTAAATACCGACATGCGACATATCGACAGGATTCTATTACAGCGCTTCGCCACGATAAAAGGCTGAACAGGCGTGGAAAAGTGATATTTTGACCAGTTTTGACGACGTGTGCACGGTGCCATTTCGTTATTATTTGTTGAATTGTGAAAATGTGACTTGTCTCGTACTTATCAAAGTCTTAATTTTCGATAAAAATTAAAGTTATCTTGAAATTTTATACGTAAAAGTGTATATTTCACTCGTTTCAACAGCTGTTAAACCATGTGTTTCTGCCAGAATATAGCCTCACTTTACGAGTCTTTTACGACCATTTACTGACTATCAAGGGAGAAAAGGACAGTTTTCATCGATTTTTAAAAGTGTTTTAAAGCGAATCCATCGTTTAATTCATCCAAATTGTCTCTGTTTACAAATGGCATCGTGCGTAAATTAACGTGTCATTCCTCGCTTCTGACATCACGATTCCAACATGGCCGCCGCAACTACTCAGGGGCCTTAAGTTAATAAAAAAAAGTAATTGAAAAATTAAAAGTTAAATTTTTTTCTATTTTATGATTTCAGAGTCTTATAAATAACGGAAATGACAAACATATACTTCATTTAGAATATACTCTATATTTTATTTAAACTTTTTGTTTATATATA